ATTTTTAGTAGGTTAACAATTTTTTTCTATTAAAAGTAACTGTTGAGCCCCAAAAAGTGTATAATTAAAAAATATCTTACAGATTATATATTTTTAGAAATATCAGGGCTTTTTTTTTTCTTTGTTGGAGGTCCTTAGTAATAATTTTGGAGGACCTACAGAGTGATGTCACACACAAGGTTGTCAAATTTGCTTTCTAAATGCAACTTTACCTCCATCAAACTGAGGGAGGGGGGATGATGATTCTATAACAATCTTAGCTGAATCCTACACTAAGAGAGAATTTAGCTTCCTCTTCATCTCAGTTTTGTGGTAGGGGAGAGATTAAGCTCAAATAATAACCATTTCTATTCAGACCTTCTTTTGCCAAGGACCTCCAGCTGAGAGGAAGTGAGGACTGGATAGTCTTCATATTTCAAAATGTAAAAAAACAAACAAAAAAGGAGAACTTCTTAAAGAAAGAAAGCTTGAAGACCCATTCATATATAATAAAGGAGCAAAAAAAGGACAAAATCCAACATTTTGTTTTAGCTTCATAACTTTCCTTTAAATATACTGTAAAATATAACAAAGAGTAAGGGCTCTTTGATATTAATTACATTTAATGAAACATTAAAATATATTAGTAATTTCTGAAATGTAAATTACTAAAAATGTTCTAAATTCCAAATACTAAGCATATTAACAATCTTTTCAGAAAGAATTAACTGATTCTAGTTCTAATTAAGAGTTATACCAAAATTAAGGTATAATTAGAACCTGAAACATAATTCAATTTTTTAAAAAATAACCTGCAATATTTCTCAGCCCATAAATTAAATGGATTTGTTTTAATTGCAAGTCAAAAGAATGCAAAAAATAAAAAAAAGTGTGGCCATTTGGAGCCAGCATAGTTGAGTGGTAAAGCAATGTGTTATCTTGTGGGGTCTGAGTGTTTGGAATGAATTCCTTCGTGCCTGGGTAAACATGGGCTGATGTTCTGAAAAAAGCATATTCCACTTTTGAGCCAAAGTATCACCCTACACTTATCTCTAATGATATTTTCCAGATGGGGCCCAAAGGAGGCATATGTTCATCATCTTCATTACAGAAGCAAGAGGAGTAAGGACGATGGAAATAAGACTCCATACCGATTTACAAAAGGTACAAATGGGAGTGTACTTTTCTTATGCACTACTATACAACCTCCAAGCCAACTTTGAAAAAGTAATTCCAGGCCTTTAATTTATACTGTGATTTAAGCTTCTTTTATTATTGTGGTCTAATATTGACTGCTGCCCACTAACTTTTTTCATAAGATTTTTGCTGCCCGTTGACATTGAAGTTGAGAAGCTCCATTGTGCAGAGTGAAATTAAACATAATGTTATATAACAGACAGAAACCGCTCCCAAGCCATTCTTATTTATTAGCTTAATAAGAGTGCCTTTCATTCATTTGGCTATCCTTTTATTGGAGCAAAACTTCAGAAATCAAATAGTTTATTTTGCCAACATCACATTTTCTGACTTTGATTGTTTTTAATCATTTTCAGTAAATATTACTAGATAATTTTAATCACTAGCTATAGAACGTTGCCATATAATGAGATAATTTCCTAGCTAACTATTAAAATGTCTCTCTGATGAAGGTTCAATATCTCAATGAGATCAAAGAATCAGCTTATTGGTAGACCTGTGACAATAATCTCTACTAAACTGACAGTAGTCAGGTTACTAAAACTAAAAGACTGCACTGTTCAGACTATTTTATTGACATTATTTGAAGTGGGCGTGGTATATAAAAATCACTGCACCTTCTGTTGGTCAGATAGATATACCCAGTCAACCCCAGTTTTAAATGGCTTTCTAAAATATAAGAATTTGAAGAGGGGACTGAACTGTTGTTGTAACACATCAATGATGATAGCTTACTGTATTAAGCAATTTCTGTGTTTTTTGATCAGTCTTAACTAGGAATGCTATGATCTTGTTCACTAAAATCTTTTAACGAAGCAAAGCATTATCTTTAATAATAATGCCTGTATGAGACTAAGCTCTTATTCTATGTTTGCAATATAGATGTTCGGTTTTCTAAAATGTAGGACACTTTTGTTCTAGAGCAGGAACTGCAGAATTACACTAAATAAATTAATGTACATTCATCTGAATCAAATGAAGTAGACTTTTTTTAGTTGGAGAATTTATTCCAGTTTATCTAGAATTTAACCTGTGAGGACCAGACAATAGTAATGCAACATATTTGTGGATACAAGGCTCTATTACTCCAATTCCCTCTTTGCCAGGCTCATAAGTAGCTAGATGTCTATTTCGTAGCTTACTGAGAATGTGCAGCAACAAGGAATTCTCACTGGTTAGGGCCATCACAATCACATAAATAAATAAAAATGCTAGGGTGGAACTCAGTGTTTATACTTTTAAAACAGAACAATTTTTTTATGGAACCATTTAAACAAAATAAATATTTTTTTCTAGGTTCCAGACTTGCAAACTCAGTTGAGTTTGCTGAATGTCAGCCTGTTTTCTTTCTGGCTCATGCATCACCATCAGTAACAAAGGATTCTGCAAGCCAAATGCTGCCCTCTGTTATACCTGTGCAGCCGTCTGTTGACTTCAGTGGGGTTGCACAAGTGTAACTGAACACACAATTTCCTGCTAATGGGGACTTGGCTAACAGTTCTAGTATTGATGCATGAGCCAGAAAAGAATCAGAATCTCTCTTGGAGCTGTGTTTGTTCTACAGGGCAACAGGTGTAAAAAGTAGTGATAAGAGTAAGATTTTACTAAAGTCAGCAGCTATAATTCTAAATAACAAAAAGCTGATCAGGTGATTAAGGTAACATTTTTACACAATCACTGTAAAGTGCAGGCCTGATCTAAAATTCAGCACTGCTGGTTTTAACATTTTTTAACACTATTGGATGTGTTACACTGCTTAAAGCCTTGAATTATCCGTTATCTGTGTGCGCGCGCACACGCGCACACACACAAGCTGTCATTTAAGAATACCTCCATCTTGTCTGAAGTTCACAGGTGATCATACTTTTGCTGAGGCAGGCCCCACAATATGAAATTTGCTTCCTCCAAAATGTTCTATTTCATCCCTCACCACTTTATAAAAGCATGCTATTGTTTCCCTCTCACCCCTCAGATATATACAGAATAGTTGTTGGCCCCATATTTAGTAATTTTCCTTCCAATCCCTTTGCTGAAAAAAAAAAAATAATAATAATAATAATAATAATCCTCTTCTGTTTCCAGAAATTTCTGTGAAGTGTTGTATTTTTATATTATTATATCACATTTTGTTTTTATAAAGTGGGAAAGTATCCCTTATGCTTTTTAGAGGGTAAAGAATGCTATATACGCAAGATGGTTGTTTTTCTTTAAATCCAGTAAATATGCATTTGATATTCTCTTCTACAGTACAAACACGAAATGAAAATCAAGTACAATAAAAAGTGCACCAGGCACCTTTGCTGGCAAATTTTGAGAGCAAAATAATGCCCGGCGAGGGGGGGGAGAGAGAGAGAGAGAAAGAACAGGAAAATAATGCAGGGCTGCTTACATGAAATGGTCAATACTGCTTCAGTTTAAAAGCTACGTGTGGCTGTACAAGATACTAGAAGTTTAGGGCAAAGTGAGCCACTCACCATGGTCAACTGTATGTCACTACCCAAAAGAGTTTTTTTAGCTCACAACTATTTCATACCAGTGCTGGTTTCTGATCAAAATAAAAAGCTTTGGGGTACTAGAGGATTTCACAGAGTTCTTTTTTTGTGCACGGGTGCAAGCAAGAACTGTAGAGGGCTCTTTACAACTTGTTACTATAATAATAGGTGTTCCCACACAAAGGCATTGAGTGGTGTACAATAATTTCACAGCAAATAAAATTACCACCACATTATAATATTTCATACTTTTTAAAACGTGAATTGCAACTATATTGCTCTACACTGCTCTATCATAACCTACAGATTATTTTACTTACAGTGCAGTCCTTTAAACATTTAATTTTTAAATATTTGATCCAGTTATAGCACTTCTACAGGTGTTTTAAAAAATAAATTTGTCTGTCCACAATTAAACACACCCATAAAGCAACACTGGGAACATTTTCCACCTTAAGAAACATGCATTTCTTTAGGGCTTGCAAGTTCTTCTCAATCTGGAGCCATATGCCATCTCAATAGTGCTTCAAGTCCTTGCTTGCTAGGCCCTTTTAGTTTTGGATCAAAGCCAAAGCAAAATATCATAGCACAGGATTCACATTTAAAAGCTTAAACACTTAAAAAAAACAAAAAAACCACACATACATACATTTGACACAGGGTAGCCACTATCCATGTATTTTATTCCTATCATATTACCTTCCCAGAAGCCTGAAAATAAAATCTTTTTAATGACTTTTTTCTTAGCTTCTACCCACCACCTGTTCTTTAAAAAGCCCATTGCAATTAATTAGAGTTCAAGCCAAAATACTGAATGTATAAGGATAAATGCCAACTAAGTGTGTAAGTTATGCACAAATAGTTTAAGTGTTTTAACATCCAGGAAGGAAAGTAATTGTTTAGAGTGGTCAAAAGAGGTTTAACTAGAATGAATGGGATTAAATTTAACAAAGAAAAATTGTGCTAAATATTAGAAAAATGTCCAAAGTGTGAAATCTATTAGATTGTAAGGGGCAAAGTCACACAGACAGATGCAACTCCCACTGGCTTCAATATGAGTGATACACCTAAATGAGGGATACCACCATCCAAGTGTCTCCCAAGTAGCAACAGTCCCATCACTTGAGTTATTTAAAACTGCGTGGAGAATATACTACTGCACTGAAAGGAAGGAGTAGTGACTTAGCATATCTTGAAATATTATTAATAATGTCAGATTATGGGCTTATATTTTAGTCTGACCCACATTAATCAATAAATTAATATTTTTTAAATACTAGAGATTGCACCCTTTGTAACTTCATTAAAAACAAAACTATTGATTGCACTTACTTTTGACAGAGCTGGCTGAACAAAACTTTGGGAGAAAGAGGGCCTTTGCCAGCTTCCCTCATACTGTGAAGGAACAAGAACATGGCTGAAGTCAATGGTCCAGGGCTTGAGAGGTTCACCACCAAAGGATCCTTTGGAACAAAAGTTGAATTATGTATCAGTAACATGGATGCCATTAGCTGATATAACCGATGCACAAGACTTGTTTTGTAATTAATACATTTACACTAAAGATCAACGTAACTGATAGTAAGGCTTAAAAAATTTAACTCAATGGTTAGTAATTTATACATTAATTTCAGAAGTTTAGTTTATCCTGATTGAATCTAAGGCCTGGTCTACACTAACCCCCCAATTCAAACTAAGGTACGCAACTTCAGCTACGTAAATAACGTAGCTGAAGTTCGAAGTACCTTAGTTAGAACTTACCTCGGTCCAGACGCGGCAGGCAGGCTCCCCTGTCGACTTCGCGGTACTCCTCTCGCCAAGCTGGAGTACCCCAGTCGACAGCAAGCACTTCCGGGTTCGACTTATCTCGTCCAGACAAGACGCGATAAGTCGAACCCAGAAGTTCGATTTGCCTGCCGCCGAACTACCGGGTAGTGTAGACCTACCCTTAGTCAAAGAAAAAATCCCATATACACCTTTGTTTCTTAAAAGAATAGCTTCAGAATCAAGCATCTTTTCATACGGACATATAAATTGATGGTTAGTATTAATTCGGGAGGGTGGGAGGAGGAAGTGGCTTACTAACTGAAGACTGAAGTGAAATTTAATATAACCTAGTGAAACATATAGTAATGAATTCATTAGCTTGGTTTTCACATACAGATATATTCCTCATTAAATGTTTAGAAGGTCTAGATCTGTCCCATTTTATTTTTTCTCTTTTTTATGTCAATTGCATTTATAGGGTGGGTTTGTAATGTTGGAATAATCCTGTCAGGTACTTTAGCACCTCAAGTATTGTCAGCACAGCATCTATGCACATTTCTCACTTCTTTCATCTAAGACTGGCTTCCCAAATTCAAATCTTGAGTAAGAAACCACACGAAGATGAAGTCAAAGGAAGCAAACAATATAGCTCAGTTCTAATTTCTCTTCCCTGGGTTTTGTACATTCTTGTGCTATAGTATTTCAGTAGACATCAGATTTTGTAATTTGTAATTTTTCCTCACCTTCTGTCTCCTATTTGCAAAGCAATAGCTATTAAGAAGGAAGGGAAGTAATCTAAAATTATATGACCACCCACCAAACACATTACTGTAACAGATGAATTATTTGGTAGCAGTACAATTAACTATATCTTTCCTATAAAATTAACTATTTCCTTTATTTTAGACTTCTGGAACATCAAAGTTGGCTATTACGGGCCCCTCCCCATTTTCACCAAAACTAGTTGTCAAGCATATACGAGTCTTCTTCTAGCCTTAGTCTCATTTTTATCGGGTTAGCTCTTGGAGTTCTCCTTCTCCATTCCAGTCTGTCTTGAAACAGTCCCTCAGAAACTCCACAGCTAATCAAATCCTTTTGTATGACATCCATCCATCCATCCATCCATCCAACTGGGGTCTTCTTTGACCCTTCACTTAGAAGTTTAACACCCGGTTTTCTATGCATTCTTCCAGTCTTCTTTTCACATGTCGAAACCATCTAGGACTGGATTCCCTCCACTTTCCTATAATGAGTATCATCTTTATTCTTTCCCTAATTTGTTTGTTCCAAACATGGTTCATCCTTGTAACTCCAAGGATCCATCTTAACATTTTCATTTCCACTATATTCAAGATATGCGCCTGTCTCTTCCTCAGTGCCCAGCAGTCAGATCCATTCAAAAGTACAGGCATAATTACCATCTTGTAGAACTTAGGAGAATGTCTGTCAAATTGAAAACTATCACAGATCACTCTGCTCATTTCTCTCCATTTAGACAATGCCTTTTCTGTTCTTAAAAGTTAATAAATGCATAAATAAATGCAAAGTAATGCACATCAGAAAGCATAATCCATCTATACATACAAAAAGATGAGCTCTAAATTAGCTGTTACCACTCAAGAAAGAGTGCTTGGAGTCACTGTGGATAGTTCTCTGAAAACAAATGTTCAATGTACAGCAGCAGTCAAAAAAAAGCTAACAATGTTAGGAATCACTAGGAAAGGGACAGATAATAAAACAGTAAATATCATAATGCCACTATATAAATCCATGGTACATACACACCTTGAATTCTGCATGCAGTTCTGGTTGCCCCATCTCAAAAAAAGATATATTAGAATTGAAAAAGACAGAGAGACGGGCAACAAAAATTATTAAAGCTATGAAACAGCTTCCATATGAAAAGAGATTAAAAAGACTGGGACTTTTCAGCTTGGAAGAGAGACATTTAAGAGGGGATATGATAGAGGTCTATAAAATCATGAATGGTGTAGAGAAAGCAGATAAGGACGTGTTATTTACTCCTTCGTGTAACACAAGAATGAAAATCTCAAACCAATGAAATTAATAGACAGATTTAAAACAAACAAAAGGAAATACTTCTTCACACAATAGACAGTCAACCTGTGGAACTCACTGCCTTGGGATGCTGTGAAGGCCAAAAGTATAACTGGGTTAAAAAAAGAATTAGATAAATTCATGGAGGATAAGTCCATCAATGAGTGTTAGCCAAGATGGTCAGGGATGCAATCCCATGCTCCGGGTGTCCCCAGCCTCTGAACGCCAGAAGCTGGGAGTGGATCACAGAGGATGGATCACTCAATAATTGCCCTTTTCTGTTCATTCCCTCTGAAGAACCTGGCATTGGCCCCGTCAGAAGACAGGATACTGGGCTAGATGGAGCATTGATCTGACCCAGTATGGCCGCTCTTATGTTGTTGAGTTCACTATTATCTTATATTATTGCATCTAGGTCCTTAAATTCTGTACCTTTGGTAGTGGCTGGCCTTCAGACTTACAGTCTTGTTATCTTTCTGCAAGGTATCATAGAATCTATAGACCATACATTCTTATGGTCTTGCTCAGGAAGGACAGACAGGGAAAAAAGGGAGGAGGTGTTGCCTTATCTATTAAAAATGTATACACTTGGACTGAGGTTGAGATGGAAATAGGAGATAGACTTGTTGAACATGTCTGGGTAAGGATAAAAGGGGTAAAAAACAAGGGTGATGTCATGGTAGGGGTCTACTATAGACCACCGAACAAGGAAGAAGAGGTCGATGAGGCTTTTTTTTTTAAAAACAACTAACATCATCCAAAGCACAGGACTTGGTGATGATAGGGGAAGGAATGCCAGTGAAAATGAGGTAGGATCAGAGGCTGAAATAGGGAAAGAACAAGTTAAAAATTACTTAGACAAGTTAGATGTCTTCAAGTCAAGAATGCCTAATGAAATACGTCCTAGAATACTCAAGGAGTTGACTGAGGAGATATATGAGCCATAAATTAAATAAATTAATGGAGATATCCTATCTCCTAGAACTGGAAGAGACCTTGAAAGGTCATCGAGTCCAGCCCCCTGCCTTCACTAGCAGGTCCAAGTACTGATTTTGCCCCAGATCCCTAAGTTGCCCCCTCAAGGATTGAACTCATAACCCTGGGTTTAGCAGGCCAATGCTCAAATCACTGAGCTATCCCTCCCCCCCATTAGTGATTATCTTTGAAAAGTCATGGAAGACAGGAGAGATTCCAGAAGACTGGAAAAGGGCAAATATAGTGCCAATAGGAAAATGAGGACAACCCAGGGAATTACAGACCAATCAGCTTAATTTCTGTACCTGGAAAGATAATGGAGCAATTAATTAAGCAATCAATTTACAACCATCTAGACGATAATAAGGTGATAAGTAAATCCATGCTGACTGTTGTGAAGAACAAATCATGTCAAACCAAACTGATAGCTTTCTTTGACAGGGTAACAAGCCTTGTGAATAGGGTGGAAGTGGTAGATGTGGTATATCTTGACTTTAGCAAAGCTTTGAATACTGTCTCAGATGACCTTCTCATTAAAAAAAAACAAAAAACAGAGAAATGCAACCTAGATGGAGCTACCATAAGGTGGGTGCATAACTGGTTGGAAAATCATTCCCAGAGAGTAGTTATCAGTGGTCCACAGTCATGCTGGAAGGGCATAACAAGTGGGGTCCCGCAGGGATCAGTTTTGGGTCTGGTTCTGTTCAATATCTTCATCAATATCTTTAGATAATGGCATAGAAAGTACACTTATAAAATCTGCGGACAATACCATGCTGGGAGGGGTTGCAAGTGCTTTGGAGGATAGGATTATAACTCAAAATGATCTGGACAAACTGGAGAAATGGTCTGAAGTAAATAGGATGAAATTCAATAAAGACAAATGCAAAGTACTCCACTTAGAAAGGACCAATCAGTTGCACACATACACAATGGGAAATGACTGCCTAGGAAGGAGTACTGCGGAAAGAGATCTGGGGGTCATGGTGGACAACAAGCTAAATGAGAGTCAACAGTGTAACACTGTTGCCAAAAAAAAAAGCAAATATCATTCTGGGATGTATTAGCAGGAGTGTTGTAAGCAAGACACAAGAAGTAATTCTTCCTCTCTACTCTGCACTGATTAGGCCTCAACTGGAGTATTCTGTCCAGTTCTGGGTGCCACATTTCAGGAAAGATGTGGACAAATCGTAGAAAGTCCAGAGAAGAGCAACAAAAATGATTAAAAGTCTAGAAAATATGCAGCAGCAGAGGCAGGCAATGGAGTAGGAGTGTTCCAAAGCAGAGAAGCAATGTGTACGGTAGAATAAAGTCCCAACACCAACCCCACCCTTCTCCCACCAACCAGGAGGCAGCCGGGGTGGCATAGGGAAGAGGAGAGAATGTTTCCACTCTGTTCCAATGCATGCAGCAAATGGATTGAGAAAAACGGTTGTCAAATTTATTAGATATCCACTAACCAGAGATGGGAGACCCTAAAAAAGGTCCAAGAATAGCAGCCCAATAAAAACCTCAGCAACTTGAGGAACAGGAGTTTGATTTTTGACTTGGGGGCTGCCCTGAGTAGTGGGGCCCCTTATACTGGTTTAGTGCTTTGGCTATTCAGTGTTTGGTAAATTTCACAAATTTTACACAAAGGGCTGGGGTAGATTGGAATGAATTTTTTTACACATTTAATGAAGCACAAACATACTGTTTCTTGTATTGTGCATGTTAAAAACCAGATTTAATGAGAACTGAAAAAAAATCCACTACATCACACTCCTTTCTTTCGCTCCTTCTTCAGGTCAGGCATTATTTGCATTCACTTATGCTCCTTCTTTAGTTCAGCAGAATGTTAGATGGTGATCATTCTTCCTCTTTTAATGTTGATTTTACAACATTAACTCTACAAAGTAAGTGAGGTCATATGTATTGTAGACTAACTGAGAACTAAAAGACAAAAGAAATTTTAGGCCAAAGGCGTGATCATCATCCTACTCTCAGCCTACTTTATCTTTTATAGACGTTATTCTGACCGAGTTTCTCCCATTGCACATTTCACACAAACTGGACCTCTTACTACACACCTACCAATTGTGCATCTTCAGCTTGACTGATTTTTAACTTTATTCCCTTTTCCTTCATCTCATACATTAGTTCATTTAACATGTGAGTCTGTGCCAGATTCTTAAAGAGAACAAAAAAAAAAAAAGTTAGAGACACTGATCTCAACTAGAACATAACTTCTTCAGACACAAATTCTAACCGTTGGCATATACAAAAATATATTTAACGGAAAGACTGCAGTGGGTATTGAATCAGGCCCCAGGAAAAAAGTATTTCCTATAGGAAATAGGCCTCACTGTTATAAAAGGTGTAGTTATTGCTGGTAGGTCTCCAAATAAAAATAACAGAAGTAGTTGGAACAGCAATAACACTCTCTCGGTGACTGATTTGTTTATTATTTTCATTGTAGAACAAATAATTTATTATTTTTAACTTTGAGTTTTCCTGTTTGTCTAAGGCCTGGTCTACACTTAAAAGTTAGGTCAACATAGAAAAATTAGTCAGGGGAGTGGAAAATCCATACCACTGACCAACGTAGCTATGCCAACCTAACCCCCAGTGTAGACACAGCTATGCTGATGGAAGAATGCTTCTGTTGATGTAGCTACTGACGTTCAGAGGAGGTGTTCCTATATTGATGGGAAAACCCCTTTCATAGGTATAGCAACGTAGCTATGACAGTATAGACTCTGTAGTGTTAACATATGCTTCAGAGGGCACTGTGACTTAGCGTAACAGCTTTTGGTCATATCCCTGAAAAATATAAATAAATAAATAAATAAATAAATGAAAAAAAGTAATTAATAATTCAACATACCTGACCTTTACTAAAAATATAGTCAGAGAAACAATGTTGGGTTAATGTGACTCGGGCTATTCTACACATAGATTTTTGTACTGGTATAACTATTTCCACTAGAGGTGTACTGTTTTTCAAAATGAATTAGGCCTGGTCTACACATAAATGTTAGGTAAACATAGCTATATCGGGGGGGGAGGGAGGGCGAACACATCCTTGATCAACATAGCTATGCTGACACCCAATGGAGACACAGCTGTGTTGACAGAAGAATGTGTCTGTCAACATAGCTACTGTCGTTCAGGGAGGTAGCGTTCCCACCCCGATAGAAAAACCCCTTCCGCTGGTATAGGCTGCATCTACACTATAGGGTTATGCCAGCATAGCTATGTCACAATAGCTATGCCAGCGTAGTCTCCGTAGTATAGCCAAACGCTTAGTTATTCCAGTACAACTCTAGTGTGGATGCAATGATATTGGTATAAAAGTGTGTATGCCAGTATAGCTCATGCAGTATAGCTCTTCCCATTAGGGAAGAAACTATATCAATTACTATAAGTACTTTTATACCGGAATACATGTATTCATGCTGGGACGGGGGAGGTTATAGTAAAAGCAATACAATTCTTATGTGTAGACAATGCCTAGGTGCTCAATATCCTAACTCACGCGTAAAACACCCTTTTCACTCCTGCAGGTAGGACAAGTTCAGTGCATTACTCATGGCTACCTAATATAGAATTGCAAAGATCACACACTGAATTGCAACTGAATACAGCTACAACCCACACACAAACATGATGTGTAACACCTGACATTTTCTTCTGTCTCATTCATTTGTAAAGCACTGCTGACATAGGGTTTGTTACTGAAGAAAATATTTTGGGGGGGAAGGGGAGGCAAGGAAGAAGAAGGAAAGGGTTGGGAAAAAGTTATTAGAATGAAATGTCAAAAAGCAATAATTGAAGTGATAACATACAAATATCCTTTATAAAATTCACATTTGTAATGATTAAATGAAATATTTCTAAAATGCTATCAACAAGGAAAGCGGGTGTCATTTTTGCATCTTACCTGCATGACAGCATTAAAAAAACATGTATTTCCTAAATTATTTATTCCCTTAACTGGAATTGAAGCGCCATTTGCAGAACTTTTTCCTTTCAATATTTCACTTCCTTCATTATTTTCTTCGCGAAGTCGTATAATTTTTGACGATGAACCTATAAATAAAACTATAGATTAACATTAAGTGACCAAAAGATCAGATTTTATGATTCGGATATTTAGCATGAAATATTGATTCCCTTTACCTAAAAGTGATACCAGTTTGCTTGATTGAACAGTTGGATTTAAAGTTATTAGAGGAAAAAAAAGGAAAGGTTGCAAACAAGCTAGTTTTTACATAAAAGCTATTTCCAGTACCCAATACGAGATTGTTAAATATGTCTGATATGGAATATTATATTCAATTGCTGAGATGTCTACTTACCAAAAATAATAGCTTAACATTATAGATTATGAGTTCTTTAGGGCAGGATCTGTCTTTTTTACTATACGAATGCACCATGCCTACCACAGAAAGTACTGATACTCACACAGAAAGTACTGATACAGGCCCTAATCCTGAAAACTTTTACAGACATGGTTCACTTAATGCAGAAGAAGTAGTTCCATCGACTTTAGTGCTTAACTAAAGCTAGCATGTGCGTTTAAGTGTTTGCAGAAATGGGATCTTACTTATACCCTGTTTTTCCCAGTTCACTCTTTCCACTGATTTATTTATTTATTGCAACGTATAACATATAAAATCTTTGCTACTGTGGGTACTTTTGACTTTCTCTAAAATAACAATACAACAAAAACAAAATCAGCAGTAAATCTCCCAGACAAACTCTACCACCAACACAACCAATAGGTGATACTTTTTCCACCAAACTTCTATCCACCATAAAAAGACAAGAAAAAAAAACCACCCCACGCATCCCCAGGCTCCACCCTCTTCTACCATCCACACAAAGAGATGGGTCTTGCAGCATGCCCTTTTAGTCACTAAGAACAGTTAAGACTTCAGATTTATGTGCACTATACACATACTAGAAAGACCAGGCAGTAGTTATTACTTTACTTTTAGGTGCTGTTGAAGGGAGGTGTGCAAAAGCTCCCACCTGAGTACAGTGAATCTCTCTCAATTACTGTACTTTGTTCAATTTGGCTTGCACAACCCATTCAACAGCTGGATACGAACTGTCATCTGTTTTCCCAGATGACACATTTACTTCTCCTGCCCCTTGTCACTGGCACTGGATCTGTTAAGCTACACCCAGCTGCATAAGATACTGCTATTTGTTTAAAATTTAACAAAAAACAGATTTAATAAGCCTCAATAGAATGTACTACCAGTAGTTTCCTTGTATTTTCCTATTTGCCTTATTACTTAAATAGACAAGGGGCAGTGAAGTTAGGCAGTCATTAACTTGTAGCCTAGAGGTAATGTAAAGACTTGAGATACACTATTTAGCCTAGAATTCTACTAGCAACTTTCATATTGTCATGATTGCTCTACTAAATATGAACATTACTGACATCTACAGCGTTTTAAGTATTGATTAATAATGCATGTCAATGTAAACGAGTTATGGACTTAATGGATGCCAAGCACTGTGATGCTGCAATCTACATCATGACATATGAATTCATATATTTGTTCTAATGAGTTACACAGTGAAGTCTCATTAAAGTGTTCTTGAGAAATAACTAACAGACCTATTTACGTTAATGAAATGCTCATGACAAAAGGTTATTTTATGTATACTCCTAGGTACTTACTTCCTTAGAATATGGAAAAATATAATTAAATGCAGAAAAAAAAGTAGATGCAATTTAAAAATATCTATTGTGGCTGACAACAAACCTTTGATGCAATTTGCATGCACTCCTTAAGGATACCAAGGCATAATTATTTTTCAAGTTACGTATTTTTCAAGTTTGTCAAAATGCAGTTAGAAGCACTTGCCATTTAATTTTTTTAATGCTCTCAATGACACAGGCTACGCAGCTTACAAATATTCTCTATTCCACTGGTGTGGAAACTGAAGACAGTACAAGGACACAGCAAGAGAGTAAATTCTCTTTGAAAAAGTAGACACAGCAAATGACAAACAGCTTGGGAACCCTTCATAATTTAAATAGGCTCCCACAAACTAGGATACATGCAGTAATATCCTTTCACTGACATGCTTACAAGCTGCATGCTACAGTGTCTTGCAGCAGCGCCATCACATAAAACTCCTAAGGCGAGAAAAGTGAGAGAGCTTGGGGGGGGAGGAGAAAAATCTCCAAATATCTGCCACCTGAAGGTACTGTTCAGCACTGGAAAATAAATAAAAATCACTCCCCTCCCCCCGTCACACACACTAAAACAGTTCTGTATGTGGAGAAAATTGATGGTTAAACAAAAAAAGCCAAAACTGTGTAAATAATTTGTGTATTGGTATACCACAGTTGTTGCATTTATCCATCGGCATCCAAAAACATCTGGGACAGCATCTTAAAGTAAACAATGTTCACAAGGCCATCTGGACAAAACTGCGGGCAAAAATTAAAGCATAAGCATATGGAAAAGCAGATTTTTCTCTTCCCTTTAGCAGTACAGGATGACAAATGTCAAACCTAGATCTGTCTACGCTTCACTGTGCTATGCTTTGCAGCACCACCTGGCTCTCCTTGCACAGCCACCAAATATGGACAGCACTGCCACAGCAGACCATAGCTGCAGGGCAAACTCAATAAAAGCATTTCACTTCATGGTTAAATGGCAGCTTCACACAAGTAGCAAGGTTCCATTTGCTAAGTCTCATATGTAAATAATTTAAGAAAAAACAAAATCAAAACAACGATGACCAATTTTGTTATTAGACCTGAATGCTCATGTAATTACAAAACACAGTAAACCAGAATTATAGATCTGACTGTCACGTTAGCTAGATAAAACTTATAAGGATAAAAAATAGAACTAAATAAACAAAAGCTGTATACATTTTATTAGTGATTCCTAGGAACCTTCTTTCCTCCACAGAGATTTTAAATATTGCCTTCCCCCCCCCACCCCCCACCCATCTTTAATAGTTTTTCCCAAATGACATTTTCCAAGAAGAATAGGTATTTTTGTCTGGAAAAACTCTAAACAGACACTGCTGTAAACTGGTCCCAGTACAGACATTATTGCGTAACTAGTTCATTTTGTACAGTGACTTGTAAGCACATTTATACATCTACAGGATCTCTAATTCAAAAGGTACAGCATCTATTGATTCCATACTGGAAAGCCCTAAGTTCAGTGATAAATGGCAGTTGGGCCTTGGGCTGGTAAGGCTGAATATGTTTGGTGGGCATGTATAGAGCTGGTCAGGCAGCCTCCAGCCAACTTAATAAGTGACAGTGGTAATAACGGTAATTGCTATTTGTTAACAGTTCTACAGACTTAAATTTCAGGGCTCTACTGAAAAATAACCCAAGGCTAAAAGCATGCTAGAGCCTAACCTTTAAAAAAAAAATGGACAGTGCTTGTGTACAAAAACATTTTTATAGACTCTTTTTGATTCAATGTGGCGCATATTCAAATATTGTATCATTCCTCTTTTAGTAACAGAAGGAGACTTTTCAAGCCAATACAGACACAACAAAGGCTCTATAAAAAAAAGTTACACTCGTCTATCAAAGCAGCTGTATGCTACTACAAACACATACCAGGATAGATTCACAGTTTCAAGGACTAAAAGAAAAAAAGTATCTTCCTTCTATAAAACCAAACCAATTCCCAAGAAGCAAAATTACAAAGGAGTTATGATAAAGAGAAGCTGTATGTAAAACTATTCATACTGACTTTCAAACTATGGGAAACAGTCTACAAATTAGTGATGGCGTAAATAGAGATTTTAAACAGAACAAGGTAATACCTTTACATGGGACTCAAAACACTTCACAAAAATGTATCTTACATAAAAAAATTGCAGTGGGCACCAAATAGCAATAGTAGCTTGGCCAAAAGGTTTTTTTTTTACTGACTGGGACTACTAAATACTACTGCAATACAAATAATAAAAGTTCCAATTCCCAGCTAACCAAATGAGAAATAATGCATTTCCCTGAGTGCAAAATAAATGTAAATAGAATAGTTAAAATATATGTTCCTAATTCTGTTATACAATACTTTATTTAGAATTAATTATCTTGTGAACCTACACATCCATGCTGTCAGATTTGTACATGGGGGATGATATTTTAAAAAGTCATAAACGCACTGTAAACTAATCATCCGCCTCTGTGAGCATAAACTGCTTACAAACAGAGATCTTCTTTATGAAGACAGGTATCTAGCAGAGTTATTCCCATCTTGCTTCCAGTTCCTTGGCTTTAGTCCCGTGATCAATAATAATGTGAATCATACAGTGCAATCCATTTGAACAGAATGAGCTTAATTGGGAGATTGCCTATGGAACTGATTTAGGCAAACAATATTGAACTATAATGACTGCTACTTAGCCTGAGCAAAATTATGACCGTATATGGGAACACATTTATTCAATGTCAATTAAACTGTATTTAGCCAGGTGCTAAAATATGTATGAAATTCTAAATTCAGATCTTTAAAGGCAAAAGTTACTAAGTACAAATTCATATTAAGAAAAAAAATAAGTTAAAATAAAAGTGAAGTACAATGAATTTTTTTTATACAGTATATTAGGTGCATCATATAAAGTATTTCCAGACCTTTAAAAAAAAAAAAAGAATCTCTGAATTGGGACAATAGTCTTGTACTATGTTGCTTTGGCGTTGGGGTGTTTCAGCATTAAAGGTGATTTGCAAATGGGGGTAAAAAGTGTTTGAATGTTAAAAAGCAGAATAGAACAAATGAGAATGCAGAGTGTGAGGTGGGTTTTCTTGTACTTTTTTATTTTTGTTTTATATTAGAAATATCAGGCCTCATCTACTCCAGGTCTGAGACCTGATTTTGCCACCTCTTTGGACAGGGTTCACTATTCCACACCCATTACTGTTGCACTGTTTGTGGGAGTTCATAGAGTATTAGAACTTGGCCCTGCAAGGGGCTGAGCACTGCTATCAATGAGAGCTATGAGCGTGCAGCACCTTGAAGAAACTGACTCTTAGGCTAGGTCTATACTACCCGCCTGAATCGGCGGGTAGAAATCGACCTCTCGGG